TGTCTGACGCTGCGAATGTCAGGGGTTGGTGATCCGTGAAGATATTCAAGTTTCTGACTCCGTACAAATAATTTCGGAGGTTTTTTAAAGCCCATACAATGGCTAGAAGTTCTCTTTCGTTTGTGGCAAAGTTTTGTTCATTATCGCGCAATGTTCGCGAAATCAGTGTAATGGGGCGCCCGCCCTGAGACAACACAGCTCCGAGACCATGGCCTGACGCATCTGTCGTTAGGTCGAATGGCTTTTTGTAGTCAGGATACGTTAGTATCACATCTTCGGAAGCTAGTACTTCTTTCAGCCTGTTAAAAGCTTCGAGTTGGTTTGGTGCCCATTCAAGGTTAACTTTTCTTGAATGGTTGGCACTAATCTTGCCGTTTTCGCCTTTTAGGACGTCCGTTAGGGGTCTCGCGATAGAGGCAAATCCTGCTATAAAGCACCTATAATAACTAGCCAGTCCCAAAAATGACCTGAGACCGAACAGTGTTTTTGGGGGCTGAAAATCCTTAATGGCCTGTACCTTTGCAGGTGATGTTTGTATTCCACCTCTGCTCACAATGAATCCCAGATACTCTACGCTCTTTTTGAAGAACTTAGACTTTTCTTGGGAGACCCTCATGCCTGCGTCACGAAGGTTTCTCAAGACCCATTCAATGTGTTTTATGTGGTCTTCCTTATTTTTGGAGAAAATTATTACGTCATCTACATAGACGTAGCAAGTTTTCCCAATTTGATCCCGGAGAACATCATCTATTGCTCTCTGGAATATGCTTGGAGCATTTTTTAACCCAAAGGGGAGTCTGCAAAATTCATACTTCCCATTGTTGACAGAAAATGCAGTCTTTTCTCTGTCCTTTTCCGCCAATTCTATTTGGTGGAAGCCCGATTTGAGGTCCAATGTTGTGAAATATTGGGCGTCACCCAAGTTAGACAGTATTGTCGAAATGGTTGGGATCGGGTACTTGTCGTCTGTTGTCTTTTGGTTCAATTTACGGAAATCGATTACTAATCGCTTGAGTTTATGGCCTGTTTCATCGACACCTTTTTTGTCGACGACCCACAGAGGGTTGTTGTAAGGCGATTTGGACGGTCTTATAATGCCATTCGCTAGAAGTTGTTTAACTTCTGCATTGACAAATTCGGATACGCCCATTGGGTATGGATACAACTTGGAATACACTGGTTCGCCATCCGTACGGATAACGGCGACAGTGTTTATGTTGTAGGGTAGGGACTCATTAACGTCTGCAAATGCCATAATCGTCTGGTCTATCATTTTATTAAAAGATTCCCTGACTGCGGTGGGAACGTCCGCATCATCGATTTGTATAAAATTTACATTTTGGCATTTAGAGAAATTTATCGGTTCCGAACCGTGGTCGTACCTTAAAATATTTTTTGTAAGGTCGATATTTGCATTTACCTGTTTTAATAAATCGAGGCCAATTATGCCGTCGAATTCCTTAAGGTCTTTCAAAATAAAGAAATATGTCCTTACGTTAAATAAATGAATGGGCAATTTCTGCTCAATTTTTGTGTGTCCGTGTAAGGACTTTACTTGAAATGGTGTGTCAACGGGTACAAAATGTGATAATATGTTAAGGGGTTTTATATAATTTTTGGATGCGCCCGTATCAATAAGGAGCTTAATGGTATAACCTGCTACTGTACGTGTGATGTACGGAAGCAGGGAGCTACCCCTAAAAAATTACAAGTTTCAGCCTCAGACAAATCATCGTCAACTGCTGTTGCTTCCGATTGTGAATGATTTTCGTAATCATCGTTACCTCTCTCTTGAGGCAAATGGTTTAATTTTTGCTGACTTCGCATTGATTGGTCACTATATTTTTGGGATTGTTTGCCATTCTGTGCCTGAGTTGGCTGCCTAAAACGCGAAGATGAGTCTACCTCCATCGGTTCAGGACCTTGTCCCTGTGTTTTCTGATTGTGAAAGCGTTGCTTTGAACTACCTGCTTTCTGTTGTCCCTGTTTTTCTTTTTGCCCTTTTTGGAAAACTGGACTCTTTTCCTGAAAATTATAATCGTTTTCCTGCTGACGTGAGCCCTGGGAACGTTGGCCAATTGATTTGTGAGATTTTTCCTCAGTGTGTTTTGCATAATTTGCCATAAAAATGCCTCGTTCGTTACTTGATTCTGCCTCCTGTGCTAATGCTAGGGTTGTTGGCAGATCGCGCGGCTGAGCCGGAAAAACGGCCCACTTAATTGACTTTCTAAGTCCCGAAACGAACGTGTGGAGCGCGTCGATTTTATATTTTTCGTTTAAAATCGCTGCTGAGGCTGGGTCATAAGTCATGAGTGTTTTATTTGTTAGTAGAGTTAAGTTTCGTTCTACGTCCTCATAGTATTTCAAGAGGGGCAAATCACCCTGTCTTAGGATACTAAGGTTCTGTTGTATCACATGTACCGGTGTTTTGTCGGCATACGTGAAATCTAATCTTGCAATAATTGCTTTAAAATTAAGTACTGTGTTAAAAGATGCAAGCACTGCATCTGCTGGGCCTCTTATTTTGTTTCGAATAATGGCTATGGCTTGATAATGCCTAGAACTCCCATTGTAGGATTCAAAAACTTTGTAGGCTGTGATAGCCGCTTGTCTCCATGAGACGTAGTGTCCTGTTTCCCGTCAAATTCAGGAAGAGACTTTACTATGTCTAGCGGTTCGTCGCAACTTTTCCCTCGAATAATTTCGGTAGCTTGGTAAATTTCTACTTCTGGCGCGACCGCCCTAAGACTATTTAACTGTTGGGTGACTGCTGCTAATTTTTGCTCAAATAACTGTGCTTGACAGGCAAGGCTTGCACGCATCTGCTCTTCCAGACTTTTTAGCTGTTGTTCACTCATATTGTTATTTGTCCTGTTTTCTCGGTATGAAGGTATCAGTTCTTCGTCGCTACTGTCTGTCCGTCTTCTAACTCTAAACATCAAGTCCCAGAATATTTGTCGAGCAGTGAACTTTTATATGGTATTTTATATGTTTTTACGGGATTTGTAAAAATAATTTATTTTTTTTTTGTTTCTATTTTTTGTATTTATAAAAATATGTACAAAAAAATTTTTTATTTATAGGAATTTTACACAAAAATTTTTTGGTTTATAAAAATTCTGCACAAATTTTTTGATTTATAAAAACCTTATGCAAATTTTTGATTTGTAAAAAATTTTACACACATCAAGTTTCTAACCAAGTTAAAATAAACAGAAAATTTTTTTTTTAACTGGTTCACCCTAATTCTGGACACACGTTGCTAGACAACTTTTATACTTTATTTTTAGCAGACAAAATGAGCACTCCACTTACATGAATTTCATATTTCCGCGTCTGACAAAATGCTAGCAGCTGTTGGTGGCCGATGCGGGGTGCAGCGCAGTTATGTAGTTTTTCGTTGATTATAGCTTTCGCTGGTCAAATGTTGAAATTTCCTTTAGTTTTGTTTTTTAGAGTTTGTATAGCGGCGTTTGCAATACGATTTTTTATTTATCTATTTAATTAAATTTTTTTTTGTGGTTATTTGTTATTTGTCACCGCGGCGTTGGCATCACGATGCAATTATTACTGATTTTCGATTTTAATCGCGGGTACTTCGACCGTTGGGCGCCAGTAACAAGATCCCGAGTTTCGATATAAAATATTTATTCGGCTCAACTGAGCACTTGAGTTTCAAATTAAGAACTAACCTAAACATAGTTAAGCTCCTGACAACGTAACCCATGGCTCGCGGCAGCGCTGGAGCATAGCCCATGGTTCGTGGCAGAGCCGACAGCAGAACGCTGACTTGGCGCCTCGTGACCGTTCTTGCGGCGATCACTCGGCGCAGGCATGCGGGTGTCAGGTTCCGTTGGCAACTTAGTTGCACAAGTGTCCGGTCCAATGACCTGGTCAGCACAATTTGTCTTGCGCGTGTTAACTTATATAAATTTATGATTTTTGACCATCATCATGTGTGAACGTGTCGATCTTGTAAGCTATAACAGCTTGTTCTGACTCGCCCTGTACGAATGATTAATTTAATATAATTTAAAAATATATTTTAAAAAGATCGGAGTAAAAACGAAAAGTTACAATTAAAGCTTACGGCCATTTTACTCTCTGGGAAAATATTTGAACCACATTAATTCTTAATAAACCCACTGAATTTTTATAAAGGACTTTGTAACGCTGTATACCCTTCCAGAATTATAACATAATTTTATCAGGAAATGTAATGAGAAATTTTTGATTATCAATATACAGACACACACAAAATGATTGGCACAGCAAGCACTTTCTACTTTACGCCCAGGAAAATGTGCAATTTTTTTTTCAATATTTAAATAACATTACTGTTATGTTTTTGTTACAAAACCAATTGATTTTTGTAGAATTTCACTGATTTATACAGGAAAATTAATTTGGATTGATGCTTGTTACCAAAAACGGACCCAAAATGGGTGCAAAGTAGAAAATGCTTGCTGTGCCAATACTTTTGTGTGTGTCTGTACATACATATGTAAACCTGCAACTTTTAAGGTTTACTACATTCGTAAGTTCTGGTATAGAAAGTTTTTTTTATGACCTAAGTCGAGATTTTTTAGTTCCACTATGATCCTTATACAGTGCAAACTCTTCAATATATCATCTAGCATATATATGAAAAATCGGTCGAGAAGTAGGTTATTATATGGTAAGATATTCTGTTTACCGAGATATTTTCTTTAAACTCTGCATTTACGAGCTTCAGTATTCCCACATATCTACAAAAGGAGATGTCTACACGGCTATTAAGTCTTCGGCGTGCAGAATATATCTTTGCCTTCCCGTTTAAAGTATATTAAAAGTGTTGAAGTTAAATAAGAATGATCAATGTTTGGTAAACGGATCCTACACATAAACGGACTATGAAGTAATAGGAACGAAATTATCTTTTGCGCGTGCAAATTAACATAATTTATACACATGAGAAGTTATAAATATTATAAAAAAAATGTTATGTTTTTATTTTTCAGTTACCCGAACTGGTGAATAGCTTGTCTCAACATGGACAGCTGCCACTTCAGATGGCTTTGTCTGCAAAAAGTAATCAAATTGCCCATACTCTTGTGAACAAAGCATCTGCGAACGTTAATGCCTACGATGCTGAAGTAAGTAATATATTCAGAATAATATAACGTCTCAAAATATTTACCTTGAGCAGGGAAATACGCTTCTTATAGATGCTGTGAGGAAAGCTGATCATTTTGCAGCAGATTTTCTTTTAAAACATAATTGCCTTGTAGATCTTGTATCCAGGTAATTTGCACTACCTTTTAATATATTAGAATATTAGAACTAATTCAGTTGATTGATTATTTTAGACCGTCATCCGATACCGCCCTCCATATCGCATGCAGCTATGGAGAAAATCAGAATAATCAGGAAAATTTTACTCATATGCTTGATATCGGGAAAAAAATTTTACGGTGTAAGGCTAACGTAAATATTCAGAACTATCAAGGTCACACCCCGCTGCATATTGCGATTACATTTCAGAATATGTCTATGGTAGACCTATTGCTTGATGTACCCGGTATTGACATTAATTTACGCAATAATGATGAAAAGTGTCCTCTTGAATTGAGTTTAACCCTATTAAATAAGGACAGCTTTAATCTTGCTACAAAACTTCTAAGGATGGGATCAAACCCGAATCCGTTGAAATCGGAGACAAATGACAGTCTGTTGCAAGTTCTATCTCAAGCTGGAAGACATTTTGAAGATGCTGCAATATTTTTGGCTGATTTTGCTAATCTCAATCATATAAATAACGGCGGAATGTCTGCCATTCACATTGCTGCCCAGAAGAATATGACAAAACTCTTGGCTAAGCTTCTTAATGCAGGCGCATCGCCTAATATACAAACAAGTACATCCAAAATGAAAACACCGTTGCATTTAGCAGTGGAAGAAAACGCTCGGGAAGTAATAAGATTGCTTGTTAATTTTTGCAAAGATAACACTAGGCAAATAGATTTCAACTGTAAGGACGTTAATGGTGACTCACCACTAAGCTTATGCTTATCCCTAAATCGAATTGAATTGGCATCAATACTAATCGAAGGCGGTGCAGATGTAAATGCGAGAAATGCGCAGGACTTGACTTTGATGCATCAATTTATAATGAACGGTGATAGCGAGAAAGCAGTATTTTTAATAGACCAAGGCGCTGAAGTCAACGCGATAACAGGTAAGATATACAGAAACAATTCTAGGCTAAATGATTCTGTACTTTGACTGTCTTACAATTTTTTTATTGCACATCCTGATTAGTACACTAGTTAAATAAACAAGGTGGCAGCTCTGACTTTAGTAGGCCGATCCAATTTGAAAAATAACTTGACCTTTCATTAGTATTTAATCTTCATGTGCATGTCGAATTTAGAAATCGGTGCTTCTATATACGATATAAGTTGAAAAAATTGATTTTCAACAGATAACAGCCATCCAGACTGCTTTGTAGTACAGATGTATATTATTATATAACAGAAAATAATATATAAATCGTTGAGAAAACATTGAAATAAAACGTATATTTGCATATCATGTCAGTAATATAAGGCAGTGCATAGCAAAAATTGGAGAGCTTCCTTTACTTTACTTCTGAAGCTATTTGGCATTGCCAAAAATAAAAAGTCGGTCATTTTCTATTACAAACGTAAGCAGGAATTTCCTGATAAGCATCATATGAGCCCTTCAATATGATTTTCGGACAAGTATTTGCGGCCCTAGTACATCGATTAAGATACTTATATATATATATATATATATATAAAATTAAGTTTTACGCGTTCAGTTAATGTAAAAAAATATATTTCAATTTATTATTTTCACTGAAGGGTACTTATGTTGAGTTCAATCCGCTTTGGTTACCGAATCTGAACTAATTTATCTAACCATTGCCGTCGCTTAGCAAACTTCGCTCGACTCATAATTGAGTGAAGTTCGAGCTGCATCAGCAATTATGCGTGGGATAATGCTATGGTGAGAACTTTGATAGTGGCGTGATTTTAGGGTGAATTGTTTATGTCTACCAAAGGGAACAGTTTGATCTTGCCCAATGTCAATGCTATCACCAGACTCTTTGTTTACAAGAATTGGAAATGTTTATACTTGTGCTTAAGTGCTAAGTTATATTAAAGGGTGGGTGCGACTATGGATATGTCACTCCCCCAACCATTAGAAAAGAACCTGTCCTCAGGTGTTTAAGTTTGGGTATAGTACAACATTTTCTTCTTTTACAATTGGTGTATCTTCTGCTATTGTAGGTGTTTCTTCTGTTTTTGGTTTGCTATATTCTATTTCTGTCAAAATGTTATTATTGTCATCCGGGTATGGAATTATTTCGAATACCGGGCTTTTTATTATTTCTCGAGGAATATGGGATAAGATCAGTATTTCGTTTGTATCTGATTTAAACCAAGTGGAAGTTTTTGTATTCAACAATTTCTCAGAGTTAACATGCAACAAATAGTCATGTTTTAGTAATTTGTGGTTAAAAATGCCTAGTCTTGTGAGCTGCATACCCATCTCAATGTCTTCTATATATTCTGTAATGTGTTCTTTCTTTCCTTTTTATTTCTCTTGATCTAGTTCGTTCATAATTTCTATTCCTTTGTTTATAGCTTCTATTATGTGATTTAATTCGTTAACCTGAACGCTGTTTTCTGCTAAGCTGCTTATTTTTTGTTCAATTTCTATCTTGTCTTCTTGGTCTAATATTCCAAATAAGTATTTATGTATATACTGTTACTACTATGTTAACTAAACCTCTTTTGCTGCGTTTGGCTATTTTTAAGCCGTTTATTTCTCTGTTTAGTTTTTCTACTAGGTATTCGATTTGTATTAGGTTATTAAATTCTTTACTTTGTTCAATTAAGTTGTTAAAAGTTTCTTCGGTTTTTGTTATGTTAACCGTTAAACAGTGGAATTCATAATCTGTCGGAATGTCTATGGTTCCTGTTTTAAATATGAGATAGCCGTTATGGGCTTTAATAGGATTAATTTCAATGCTTTGTGCATTTATGTGGTTTACAGTTATTGATAGTAATATTATAATAATTAGTTTAAGCTGGTGCTTGTATGTCTTGATCGCTGTCTGTTGTTGACCTGTAATTGTTATATTTGCTTTGATTAGTCTTCTTTTTCTTTTTAAATTTGGTTTTGTAATGTGTTATCTTCCTGCCTTTGTTTGTTTCCTCAAAATGTTTTGTCGTCGATTTGTCTTAGTTCTCCTGTTTTCTTGAACGGGGCTGTCGTCTTTGATTTAACTAATGGTGAATATTTGTATCTAGTGTCAATTTCGTAATTTGTTCGTTTTTTGTTGAGGTTATTTATTAGTTTTTCTTTATTAGTTTGAGTGTCATACTCTGGTGTACCTGCGTATATGAATATGTCCGCTGGTGTTCTGTTAGTCGTTTTGTGCTTTGTCTTATGATTGTACGTGTAGAGTATAGTTTCAAATTTTGTAAGTTTATTTTCGACGTCTGAGTCGCTGTTAATGATTCTTAATTTTTCGTTAACTGTCTTATGAAATCGTTCTACGTCGGATATGCCATTTTTACTAGTGGTTATATTAATATTTACTGCTTCTGATTTAAGCCATAATTGTAAAGCTGTGCACATAAAAGCTGAGTCTTTGTCTGCTTTTATTTCGATGGGTTTACCCATTTGGTTGAATACTTGTATTATAGCTCGTTTGGTTTCTAACCAGTCTCTACTTTTTATACCCTGAACCCATTAAAAATGGGTATAAGGGTATATTGTATTTGTGCAAAATCCAAATGTATGTAACAGGCAGAAGGAAGCATCTCCGACCCCATAAAGTATATATATTCTTGATCAGCATCAATAGCCGAGTCGATCTAGCCATGTCCGTCCGTCCATATGTATGAGCCAAAGGATCTCAAAACCTATAAGAGCTAGAGACTTAAAATTTTAGATGTAGATGCTCCTAGTTCCCGCGCAGGTCAGGTTTGTTTCCGGTAATCGATAACTTACTCCGTTTCCAAGCAATCGATAATAATCGATATCGACATCCTGTTTTTTTAAGCAAATTGGGTAAATAATTGAGCTAGAGCCACCAAACATGATATGTTGCTTCTAGAATATTATAGATATTTCAAGTATCTTTCATTTCATACCTGTCGCCACCTCCCCGCTACCACCTATATATAAATCAAGTTAATAACCCAACTTTTATTGCCAACCAATTTAAACCACAATTTAAATGCAATTGATTTTTTCGAAATACACAAATATTCTATGGTACAATAAGATATACTGTAGAAAATTTCATAAAGATCGGTTAAGAAAAACCAAAGCTTTATGCAACTGCGCAATTGAATGGGGCAGCAGCTTTCAGAATTTCTGTATACATGTACACTTACACATTCATGCGCGTCTGCTTCGCATTCTAATAGCATGGTAATTGCATCTTTTTTTGTAATGTTATTTTAGTTCCTTTTTTTATCATAATGGTGCGGTCTGTCGCAAGTTCAAGACCTACCGGGGAAAGTATTATTATTATTTTTTTTTGCTGGTGTGGCTGTTGAGTAGAGTCGACAGTAAGTAATGCAGTCAGTTGCAAATTCGAGCCCTGCCAAGGGAACTTTTTTTTATTAATTTATTTGGTGTTGGAATAAGAGGGTTCAGGGTATCCCCTAGTCGGGAGCTCCCGACTAGAACCTCTTGTTATTTCTATTAATGATGCAAATTTTGAATAGATATCAATTCAAGATAAAAATTGTTTATCTCCTACTCGGATATTAGCGATTTCCGGAGTTATTTCGAAAGTTAATTTTGTATCCCTGTGTTCTGTTTTTGCGATGTTGCAAATCTCACATTCGTTTATTAGATTTTGAATTATGTTTTGATAATCTGTGAAAGAGTGGGTTTCTTTGAACCAATTGATAGTTTTTTCAATTCCTGGATGTAATAATTCTTTGTGTTTTTTTAATATTAGTTCTTTGAATTCTGCGAATGTTTGAAGATCTATTAATTTTTTACTAGTTTTCATTGCCTTTGTTGATTTATTCGGACTTATTATTTCTAAGTAGGCTTCTTGAAAAATTGAAAAATCTGCTTCGTTGTGGAAGTATAGCACACTTTTCTTTGTGCATAAGTATTCTTTTATTAATTCTTTGGCATGCGTGTTAGTCATGTCTTTGTATGTAATTTGTATGTTGGTTTTATGAAAGTAATTCATAACTTTTGTTTCGATCTCGGTTCCTTTTTCAAATTCTATTTGTCGATTATAGTAATTAAGGGGTCTTTCTGTGATTTGTAAATGGTTACTGTTGTGTTCTTGAGCACTATGTATGGTTGCTCTTGTGCTAATGGTATCTTCGCCTAAGAACTTTTCGTTTAATTGAATTCTGGACAGAATATCTGCCACATAATTTTCTTTTCCTGGGACGTATTTAATTTGGAAATCAAACTCATTTAGCTTGATTTTCCATCGTTGTAATTTCATGTTAGGTTCTTTCATGTTATTTAACCAGACGAGTGGTCTGTGTGTTGTCGACTAAAAAGGTAGGACCTAAAGTATTTAGTGGCCCAAACGATTGCTAATAATTCCTTTTCAATCGTTGAATAATTTATCTCATGCTCGTTGAGAGTTCTACTTGCATAGCATATAGCCTTATGCTCTTGCGAAAGGACGGCCCCTTTGCCATATTACTCGCGTCGGTAGTTAATGAAAATGGTTTTTCGAAATTAGGGTATATTTAAATTGGGTCGGATGTTATGAGTACTTTTAGCTTTTCAAACGCTAATTTATAGTCTTTGTCATTTATATTGATTTTTGGTCCTTTTTTAATTTAAGTGTTAATGGATTTACTATATTAGCGAAGTTTGGTATAAATTTCCTATGGAAACCACATAAATAATAGAACTGATTTAATTTCTTTTGGGGTTTTTAGAATTGGGAATTTGACAATTGCTTGTATTTTGTTGGGATTTGGTTTTATACCCTCAGTTGTGATGATGTGACCGAGAAATTCAGTTTCTTTTCTCATAAACTCACATTTATCCAACTGTAGTTTTAAGTTAGCTTCTCTAAGCTTCTCAAATACTTTTTGTAGCGACAAAATGTGTTCCTCCAATGAAGTGGAAAAAATGATAATGTCGTCTAAGTAGACCAGACAATCCTTAAAAATTAAATCTTCTAAGAGATTGTTCATACAACGTTGGAACGTTGCAGGTGCATTTTTAAGACCAAATGGCATCCGAGTGTACTCGCAATGGCCATGTTTAATTGAAAATGCGGTCTTGGGTATTGAACCATTTGGATCCATTTGGAGCTGGTGGAAGCCTTTGGCTAGATCAATGGTTGTGAAATATTGACATTTTCCAAGTTTGTCTAATATTTCATACATGATCGAGATAGGGTATTTATCATTAATAGTTAGTTCATTGAGATTGCAGTAATCTATGACTAACCGGAATTTTTGTTTTCCAGATGCATCGTTTTTCTTTGCAACGATTATTACTGGTGAGCAGTAAGGGGATTTGGATTTACGTATGATATTTTGTTTTATCATATCGCTTATTTGTTTACTAACTTCCTCATCCTATATTTGAGGATATTTGTATGGACGCTTGTAAATTGGGTCCTCATGTTTTGTTAGAATTTTGTGTTTAATTGTACTAGTGAAAGTCAAATTGTCACCTTCATGGTACTGGATACCACGAAATTCATGTACAATTTTTTTAATTTTTTCTTTTTTTTCTGAGTTTAGGTGCTCTAGCCTAAACTCATTGTTTTCTATTAATTCGTTATTAATAGCGAAGTTAAATGGTCTGTCCTCTGTTGAGGGTGGATCAAGGCACTCTTGTGCGGTCATGTCCTCTTCGACCGCTTCGTCATTATATCTAAAACAAAAGTTAAATTCCCCTTAGGTTACGAATCCTTGTGCATAGTCTATTTTTGCTTGACACGCTTCAAGGCATTCTCTCCCAAATAGAACATCATAATGCTCTGAGAAGTCGTGAATATAAAATTTTTGTTCACTCGGACAAATTTTGCTTGCTCCTAATCGTATGCTTTGTTTTAATTCAATAACACCATTTATGGTATGAACCTTTAATGTATTCTTGTAAATAGGAAAATTTAAACGGTTTGTTTTCATTAGATTTATTGTTGAACCTGTGTCAATGACACATTTTAAAACTTCGTCATTCAGAATCAATTTTATGAATGGATTTCTTCTGTTTGTTCCGAGGCTTGCTGATGAAAATTTTCGGATGTATCCATTTTCATCTGCCCACTGTTACTATCTCTTTGACGTGTAGTCAGAGGGTTTGGCGCATTCAAGAGTGAATGGGACTAATTTTTATAATTTAAGGGATTTTGGGATCTACCTTGATTTAATTTCTGTTGGAACTCGTGTTGAGCTTTCTGATTGTCTTCGGAATTATTATTCTGTTTATTATGTACGTGGTAACTCTGATTCGTGTTGGAATAACCACTTGAAGTGGTGGTTGGGTTAGCATTTTGCTGATATTTTCCCATGTTCCTACGATTGTTATTTTGATTTCCCTGAACATTATCAGCTTTAGGTTTATCAGTTACACTGTTTTCATATAATCCCTCTCTTTGAGTTACTTGCTTTAATTTTTGTGTCGACGTAATGTTTTATCTGGCTAACATCATGAAAAGCCTATCTGGTAATTTTTTTGTAATTACATCTTTGATTGTGTTATTCATCGCATTTGTGTAAAGTGTCGTATTGCTAGGTATATTTTCTAATGCTAACTTATTTAATATAACAAAAGATTTATTTTCGAGTCCTCGATGAACTTACGGACGTTTCCCTGGTAATTTGCGTTGTATAAGCGTCGAAGGAGTTCTTCAAATGGTGTTTGCACTTTATACTCTTCAATCAATCAGCTTCTGCCAAGTGTCTGCTGTCCTCTGTGAAATTCTCTGGGCGTCTCCAGTGACTTGCAATTCGATGGCTCCGTATTAGATGCTGTGTTGTCTAACATCTCGTGTTGGATAAAGGTGTAGGATGTAATCGATCCTCTTAATGAAAGCGTTGAGATTTTCCGTTGATCCGTCAAAACTTGGCACCTGTCTCAGTTTTGAGAGGGCCTGGTTGAGGTGTTGTTCTGATAATTCCATGGTCATCTTAGTGTAATACACTTTTTTTTGTTTTTATGTGTTGGATGATTTTAAATAGTTTTGAGTTTGTAGTTTCGAACTTTTTAGTTCTTTGATTTTGCACTTTTATTTCTTTGCACTTTGTTTTTGTACTTTGTACATTTAATTTAGCTTATTGTTTGTGATTGGTTATTTGTTTTAATGTTTTTTTTTTTTGTGTGTAAGTAATAACATATTGCAAGGATCAAAAGATATGCAAAGCCAGTTGTTATTAACTGTAGTAGCTTTATTGCCCAAAGGGTCAATGTTATTAGACTACTAGTGACCCGAAGGTTCTTGTGCGGATACGTATTCGAGAAATCGTTTATTACACACTGACAACAATTTCGGTCGCGATTGTGCGTTACATCTGGGAATTAATTATCCTTTAGCGATCTTCCCTTTTTCCCGACGTATCCTACCAGCTGCGCTAATTAAGTTTTACGCGTTCAGTTAATGTAAAAAAATATATTTCAATTTATTATTTTCGCTGAAGGTTACTTATGTTGACTACAATCCGCTTTGGTTACCGAATCTGAATTAATTTAGCTAACTATTGCCGTCGCTAAGCAAACTTCGCTCGACTCATAATTGAGTGAAGTTTGAGCTGCGTCAGCAATTATGCGTGGGATAATGCTATGGTGAGAACATTGACAGTGGCGTGATTTTTAGGGAGAATTGTTTATGTCTACCAAAGGGGGACAGCTTGATCTTGTCCAATGTCAATGCTATCACCAGGCTCTTTGTTTACAAGAATTGGAAATGTTTATACTTGTGCTTATGAGCTAAGTTATACATGTATGTATATAAATATATATTTTTTTATTTAATTTGTAGGTGAACAAAAGTCTGTCTTGCAGCTGGCTATAGACTCTCATTTACCCAACGTTGTAGACGCGTTATGCATAAAAGGAGTGGATCTTAGTAATTTAGATAGTAGAAGAGATTCGCCATTATGGACAGCTTTGGAATTAGGATATGAGGATATAGCTCAAATTCTTGTACGTCATGGCGTTGACACTGATTGTTGGAGCGAAGGTCCTGAGGGCTGCAAGCAGACGCTGTTGCACCGAGCAATTGATGAAAACAAAGAATCCACTGCAATTTTTCTCGTTCGTAACCAGTGCGATTTGGACTCGCCGCGTCAACTTTGTCCGAATCGTGAAAGCGGTGATGAAGCACGAGACAAAGCTTCTCCTTTACATCTCTGTTGCCAATGGGGTCTAACAAAGGTTGTCCAAGCGCTGATTGATCACGGTGCCAATGTGAACGCTTTAGATGTTGAAAACAAAACGCCAGCACACATAGCTATTGAAAACCAACATGAAGAAATTATAAATATTCTTCTCTGCCACCCTGGCATTGACTTGAAATTGCAGGATAAATCTGGACTCACACCCTTTGCTACTGCTCTGGCCAGCCGTAATCACAAAGCAGCACAGCGCATACTTGAAAGACTTCCAAATGCAGCGGAAATAATGGATCAGCGTGGGCGTAATTTTCTCCATGTTGCTATATTAAAAGATGACCTAGAAAGTGTACTTTTCTTATTGGCTATACAAGTAGATGTCAATTCGCGTGTACATGACGCCTATCAATCAACTCCACTTCATCTAGCCGCTGCATCGAAAAATGAAATGATTATACGAAACTTAATATTAGCAGGCGCTCGAATAAACGAACGAGATGCTATCCAAAAAATGCCACTTCATGTAGCAATTGAACGTGGAAACCTCCCTGCAGTTTCAGCGATGATTCAAAACAATGCCGATTTTGATGCAAAGGATGCCGAAGGAAACAACGCGTTACACCTTGGGGTGCACGGGGGTCAGCTATCGATAGTTAGAGAGTTGCTCACAGAATCACGGGTAAACGCTGAGGCATACAATGCGAAGGGCCGGAATCCCCTGCACGAATTATGTAGAGTTGGAGAAGATAATTCTGGTGCAGCTATTTGTGAACTGTTTCTTGAATGTATGCCAAAGTATCCAATTAATATTCCAGACATGGACGGCAACACACCACTACTTCTCTCATACATGCGAGGACAGGCACCACTTTGCAAAGTTCTTGTAAAAGCAGGTGCTTGTCTTGGCGCTCAAAACCGAGAAGGGATTAGTATTTTCAATTACAAATTAGCTACAGATCAATTGCTTAACAAATTGTTGGACCAATTGCCACAGGAGTCGCCGTGGGCGGAATCAGAGTTGTGTCAAGAGTGTAACTCAAAGTTTTCACTTACTATAAGAAGGCATCACTGGTAAGTAGTATAAAACTACTGCATTAAATTGATTTAAACCAAATCCCAACATTTTGATAGTATACGTCTAACAAAAAGCCTGTAAAATTTATAAACTGCAGAGGTATGTAACGGGCAGGACTCATATTTATCTAGTCGTGTTCGTCGGTCTGTTTGAAAACGTGTCGACAACGAGTCTCTAAGAGCTAAAGAATTAATAATTTTGTATGCACGCCAATAGGAATTCCAAAATGATATATAGTAGATATATATATACACGGCGGTACTAAAAAAAAAAGATATATACATGATCTGTATAGACTATAGAAGCTACAATCCAAATTTGATAACTAGGCGACTTTCAAAACCTATAAAATGTGCTTCAAAAGCCAGAATTCCGATAGTTTCGTTTTTCGATTGCTTGGAAACGGGCAAGTTATGGATGATCGGAAACAAACTTGAACTGCGCGGGCACTTGGAGATCGATGTGAAATATCTTAATCGACCCAGCTCGTCGTCCTAATCTAAAATAAATATATTTTGTGTGGTCGGATGCCTCCATCTGCCTGTTACACACACTTGCACTTGCCTTTTTAATGGGTAAAAAGAGTATTTTCAGCTCCAGAGGGTATTTGAAATTTTTCTGGAATTTGCAATGTATTGAAGGAGATGTCGTCGACCACATAAGAAGTCAATATAGCCTTGTCCGTCTGTGTGCCTCTTTCAAAGTAAATTAGATCTACAGTTTATCAGCCGTGGCACTACATAATAGGAATCGACCGTTTCGGATGTAATTTTACATCTTTACTCAGCAGCGTCACTATGCTCCTGACATATAAACAAAATCATCTCCCATCGAAATGTGTTATCAGATATCTTTTATAAAGAGTTATTAACGAAATGAAAAACAAGTATTTAAATATAATGTCTTACCGGTCTGAATAAGTGTTTTCTCTATATATAAATGATGCATGATGCGTGTTTCACACTTCTCCCAAAACCACTCCACTTGAATTTGCTACAAAATTATTTTCAAATCTAGATATAAGAAGTTAACGAATGTGTGTCAGTGGTTTTAGAAATTATTTCCTTTAAGGTTTGTAAATTGGCAGATAAGAATTGTATGAAGTTTTTTGATTTCCATCCGATCGGTTTTAAAAAAGTTTTCAAAGTTCTTTGTGAAAGTTAACCTTATACGTGCTACACACTTTTTGCTAAACAACTCTACTTGGATTATAAACGAGGGTCAAATGTTGAATGGGCGAAATTTCGATTGGAAGCTCATTCGCAAATATCTTTAAGAAACCCCATATGAGGCGTGCGGGTCAAACATTTTTTAGTCTGGCCTTAAGTTTTGTCCGATTTGCCACAAGCCTATTTCCAAATATCTACTAAAGAAATTACTGGGCACGTGTTGCAACAAATTTGGAAATTCTATCTATATATATGTATATGGAAAACGGTTGTATGAATATATATATATGTATATATTTGAACAACACTTTCCTTAAAAGACCGGTCTTTTAAGGAAAGTGTTGTTCAAATGTTTAAGGAACGAAAAGTTAGTTTTTGGCTTCAAGACTCTCACCAGAATCCTAACACGGGAAACCGTTGATTCCACCTTACGGTTCTCTATTCGATGGACTTTAAAAATGTTTTCAAAAAGAAGTGAAGTGTAGGATAGTACGGGTGGAAGTAAATTTTCACAGGCGGAAACTGTGTGAAAAAGAAATATTAAAATTTTGTAGCGCAGACATATATACATACATATACATTTTATTTATTTATTTTTTTTTTTACTTCAGTCGACATTGTGGGCGAGTTTTGTGTTCTAAGTGCTCCAACAATGATGTACCGATTCTTAAATTTGGTATTAATAAACCTGTAAGAGTTTGCAATGTTTGCTTTGATGTTCTTCATGGAGGAAGTTAAAGCGGTACCCGTTAATATCGCTTGTCTTTGGAAACATTTGGTATGTATTGTTTTTTTTTTCATATCTATATTTCATAATATTCGTGTTGCCTGACTAATTGGTAAAAAACGCGCAGAAATATAAATATTTGAGGCAAAGCTGTTCTTCATCTGATCGGCTTATTTTCAGAAATCGATTAATATACATCATCACCATCAGCTTGTTAAACCTTATTTTAACAACATGCGCTTTTGTTTATTATTATTAAGATTATAAATAATACTATAGTTAATTACAACAGAAGAGCGCTAGCGTCGAGGCCTTCAGCTCTACTTCAAATAATTACTTTTAAATTTGACTCGATAAGTTGCATTATTTGATAAAGTTATAAATCTTATCTATATTTGAGGGTGGGATTACGGATAGGTAGGTCGATGGTAATGAGTAAGGATAGTGGTTGTCGATAGCTCAGCAGGTGGGCGTAGGTGACGCTGCTATGTCTGATGCGGAGGCGAACGAAGATTAAACATTTCGATCGGGAAGAGTTGACAGCTCCCGATTATCTTACTTCGTAAATGGTGTTGAATAACATTTTGCATATCCTTTTCAGTGGATGGAATTAGCGTGAAGTTGGAATACTTTGATATTGATGTAGCTGCAGTATCGGTAGGTCGTTTCCGATAATACCTTTGTGACTAGGTACTCAAAAATGTGTAGCTTTACAGGGGTTTCTATAAGTGAGTCTCGAATCTGGTCAATTGTTGGGTTGGAGTTAGAAATAATGTTTATTGCATTATCGCAGTAGACAGACTGTCGGTGCAAAATGGCTACTGCTTCCGCCGCGAATATCGAGCAACACTCTGGGATGCATCCAGCTGTTATAATGTTGCCATTTTCATCGACACCCGCAAAAGCAGGAATATTGTCTGTTTTTGTAGCGTCAGTGAATAACCAAGTTCGGTTTTTAGAAATTCGTTTGGCTGACTATTCGGAAAATAGCTTGCGGAAAGATTCGCAATTGGTGGTGTTTTTTTTTTTTTGGAAATTGGCGTAGCGCGCTGTTTATGGAAGATGTGCGCAGAAGCCACAGTGGTGCTATCTTGGGCTATCTAACCGGAGGTGGTATAATGTTGAGTTGTCTGTAGAGGGCGATGATCATTGTAGTGTGGAGTGGTACTTGAATTACTTTCTTTTATTGACGGCCTGGCGGTTTGAAGTAGTTGGTTTGGAGAGCAGAAAAGCTTTGGTATACGATTTTTTTTCGTTCTTGTCATCGATAAACGGAAGATCAGCTTCCGCTAGAATGCACCTTATTACGGATGTTGGGAAGGCATTAATACTTCGGCATCCAAATGTGTGACTTAGCACAACAACCAAATATTGGCAATGCATATTCATTAAAATATAAATGTTAATTAGTGAGTGTTTGGCAGTAAGGTATTTAATTATATTCAGTTTTTTTCGAGGCTCTCTTTAATATAAACAATGGTTCTTTCAAGTCATTCTCTTATCGAAATATACTCCAAATATCTTAGAAGCCAGGACGCATTCTATGACAAATTTATAAACGCTTAAACTAGTGTATGTACACATCGGCTTATTTTTGGCAGATATGCAGGATTTTACATTGATAAGGTAAAAATGTTGCACCAGAGCGTAGGCCCCAATTATACATTTCATTAAGTATATTATTAAGAATTATATTAAGCTTAACAAAATCTTTAATTTTTTTCTGAAGATTGTGGCATTATCTACGTACATTATAATCTTTATTTTTTTATATTTCAAAGCAATTTTGTTTATTTCTTCAAATGCGATAATGAATAAAATTACGGTCAGCGTCGATCCTTGAGGAATGCCGTTGTGTAAATTATGGATGTTGGATAGCACGTTGTTAATCCTAACCCGAAATGAGTGCTTGGTCAGAAAAGCCTTCATTATATTTCACACCCAACCCCCATTTAGCGAGCTGTTGAGGAACTAAATGGACTTCACGAAGTAAAATGCTTTTTGAAAATCTGTCGCCAATAAATGCATGAGAGTAAGGAAATAGGTCGGTAACTGGAAATTTCCTAAGTCGGCGTGTTAGTCTTTGGAATAGGCACTACAATGGCTGATTAACATGAATGAGGATATCGACCTACCCTAAACATACAATTGTATATCCCTAAAAGCTCTGCCTTGCCTGAAGCTGGTAGATGCTTTAGCATAAGATATGAAATGCGATCATGACCGGGTGTTTTACCCTTGTCCTTTTATAGCGCAGTTACGAGTTCTACTTCTGTAAAGTCGTATTCCAGTTCCCTAGCTGACAAGCTAAGGATACTGGAAGAGTGTATATATTCAAGGGATAATTTCATTTGTCGAGTATATATAAAAGTTACTGTTCCTGGACTACTCTGTCTAGTTTATGGTAAATTCGCTGTTCCTATCCAAAGCGTAGGCTGGGATTCCCACAAGTGATTTTATATCAAACCGAATTTGTTTTGCTGTGAACTGAGGCGTTATGTTTGATGTGAAAGTACCAAGGCACTCCCTCTTAGCTTCTTTTACTGCACGCTTGAAGAGAGCATTCAATCTTTTGTAGGCAATGAGGTTAGCGTCGGTCATTTTATGCTTATATTGTAGGCTTGCTAGAGCTGCTGCTTTTTTCCTGTAGATTCCCCAGATTATTATTTCGTCAACGTACTTTTTTATACCCTGAGCCCATTGAAAATGGGTAAAATGGGTATAATGTATGTGTGCAAATGTAAGTAACAGGCAGAAGGAAGCATCTCCGACCCAATAAAGTATATATATTTCTCATCATCATCAACAGCCAAGTCGATCTAGCCATGTCCGTCCGTCTGTCCGTATGTGACCTAAAAATTTATATGTAGATCCTCTTAGTGCCCGCGCAGATCGAGTTTGTTTCCGATTTTCTATAACTTACCCCGTTTCCAAGTAATCGATATCGAAATCCTATGTGAGCAGTTTTGGTAAATAATAAGATTTAGAGTTACCAAATAATAAGGAGTGCGGCTGGTTTTATTGACAAAAATAAGATTTGCAAGGTAAATGCATATCTTGAAGACATATAATATCTTAGTTTTTGCTATTGATTAAGATTGTAAATGCATCGTAATTATTTATGTAACCTTATAAATTCCATTGTACAACTTTAATAGTCATAAATAGTCAATTTATGTGATACACTGTGCTTCATCAGATTAGCGTCCCGTCATCGGGAGGTCCCGACTAGGGGATACCGTGAACCCTCTTATTCCAACACCAAATTCGGCTCGCGCTACGTGCTCTTATGCTTTAGTAGTAACAAAGATAAATGAAAAAAAAAAAAGTTCCCTTCGCAGGCTTCGAACTCGCAAGTAACCGCAGTACTTGCCGCCGTCTCTACTCAACAGCCATACCAGCCACAAAAAAAATATATAAATAGTTTCGCCGATAGGTCTCGAACTCGCGACAGACAACACCACTTGCCACCGCCTCTACTCAACAGCCACACCAATAATTGAGTCTTCGTGAGAAAAAAAACCAATTTAAATAGTAGCACAGAAAACAATACAATCGCAATTATAATGCTGTTGATGAATACGAAACAGACGCGCATGAATGTGTGTGTGTACATGCATACATTATATTCTTCGAATTTGCGCTGGTGGCGCTAACACGTGTTTCTTTACCGATCGTCATGAAATGTTCTACAGTATATATATACTGTACCAGAGAATATTTGAGTATTCTCAAAAAAGTAAATTGCATTAAAATTGTAGCTTAAATTGGTTGGCAATATAAGTTGGGTTATTATACCCTGAACCCATTCAAAGTGGGTATAAGGGTATATTGTATTTGTACAAAATGCAAGTGTATGTAACAGGCAGAAGGAAGCATCTCCGACCCCATAAAGTATATATATTCTTGATCAGCATCAATAGCCGAGTCGATCTAGCCATGTTCGTCTATCTGTCTGTCCGTCCGTCTGTCCGTCCGTCCGTCTGTCTGTCCGTCCGTCCGTCCGTCCGTATGTATGAACGCAAGGATTTCAGAACCTATAAGAGCTACAGACTTGAAATTTTAGATGTAGGTGCTCCTAGTGCCTGCGCAGATCGAGTTTATTTCCGATAATCGATAACCTACTCAGTTTCCAAGCAATCGATAAAAAAATCGATATCGACATCCTGTTTTTTTTTTAGCAAATTGGATAAATAATAAGAGCTAGAGCCACCAAACATGATATGTTGCTTCTAGAATATTATAGATATTTCAAGTATCTTTCATACCTATCGCCACCTCCCCGATACCACCCCAGAGCTATAAATCAAGTTAATAACCCAACTTTTATTGCCAACCAATTTAAACCACAATTTAAATGCAATTGATTTTTTCAGAATACACAAATATTCAATGGTACAATAAGATATACGGTAGAAAATTGAATTCAGATCAGTTAAGAAAAACCCAAAGTTATATGTAACTGCGCAATTGGATGGGACAGCTAGCGAATACCTCAAGAATTTCTATATACATGTACACACACACATTCATGCATTCAGCATTGCAATTGCAATTGTTTTCTGTGCTGCTATTTTATTTCGTTTATTTTTCTTCTCAATAATTCACAATTATTGCAAGTCGACGCATAGCAAGTGGTGCGGACGCGAGTTCGAGCCCTACGCGGGAAACTGTTTTTTTTTTTATGGCTGATGTGGCTGTTGTTGTCGTCAGCAAGTAATGCGGTCAGTTGCGAGGTTGAACCCTGCCAAGGGAACTTTTTTTTAATATAACTTTATTACTTGCATTGCGCGAACTTCATTTGGTGTTGGAATAACAGGATACAGGGTATCCCTAGTCGGGAGCTCCCGACTAGAACCTCTTACTTGTTTTAACTAAGCAAAGTAGGTCCACCGTAGACAACAAAAATATAATAAAAAAATATACATTTTTCCATGTTTTTAATGTTTTTATTTAGTAAAAAAAATCTGATTCTTCCCACGAGGCCTGCCTGGGCGTAGAATGAAAATTCGGAACTAGAATGAGCGAGGCACTCGCAGCACATGCATTCA